AAATAAAACTAACAGTCTAACAGCGAATCTTCTTCACACCATCGTTTACCATGTTTCCTCTTAATTGGCTAGCTACTTCGTCAGTGTATCCATTTATATAATAATAGTTTTCATTTAACTTACTAATAAGGGTATCGTATAGTTTGATCTAAAGAACAATCTTCTGCAACATCTTGCTGTGCTGTATGGTTTTGTATCCTCATGATTCGGTGAAACCTCTAGAAATGTCAGTGCCAGGTTGCTACTTCTATGATGCTTTGGAACTCTACACAACTGAAATTATGTTACTGTTGATATAGAGAACATTAAGTACACTCCCCCTAATTTCCTTTTTTCTTATTTTTGCTGTAACGCTTTTCCAGTAACATTCCTATTGGGAACGTAATGATAGACGTTAACAGTCCGGATCCTTGTAAAATCCTCAAGCACTATTTAAAAACGTAGGGAAGATGCCATCAAATACCGGTGTTGTGTAAGCTGACTATAGCTCACTTTTAGACTTTCGCTTTATTAAAAGCTTTTCTGTAGACGCTTTTAAATGTAGCGGACTATCATCAAGATCTGAGTATTTCTCTTATTTCTCGACGTTGAATTTCGTAGTGAATCCAGAAATATGCATGGCTGATGACATTTGCATTTGATTCCTATCAACCATCTCCAAAATTATCATCCAACCTCAATGTGGGGATTGATAAGGTAAATTTGTGTTTATTTAGGTAAAAACACTTCCAGGAAAATAAACAAAAAAAAATAGATATCGAAATCTTTGAGTGTTAGTTTCATAAAAACTAAATTCATCAGAAAATAGTGTATACCGTCCTGGCGATATTTGTTTGTTTAGTTGGTTTTCAATTTTGTTACTGTAACAACTAACTTAGTGATTTTGTATTTATATATCTTGGCATTATCATAGATCAAGTGGTTTATTATGTACTAACGTATCAACATAATAAAATTATGTAAAGTAACGTTGTCAATCATTGCGTATTCGAATGAAAAATTGATTTGTGAATTATGTCAGTTTGAATCATTTTTGACAGAGTAACAAGTATGGCTATGGCATCAATTTGTCTATATGTCAGTTTTGTTAGGAAGGCTACTTATGAGAAGCTATTACGTTTATAATAGTAATACTATTTTTGGAATATGTCATTTTCAAACATCCTCCTCCAAAACCAGTTAAACGGTTTGATTTGGTTGTATATTATTGCGAAATTAATATTTAAACATCTCATACATTTATGATAAATGGTTGTAACGATTGAATTAAATTATAATTAACAGATATTAAAATTTAAATGTTTGAAAACACGAAAATAAATACAAATATTTACTTTGCTAATGTTAAATGCTGCCGTGTTTGGCAAACAATGAAATCATCGTCACCTATCATGTAAAGTCTTTTCTAATTAAAATGTTAGTTCTGAAAGTATGTGTAAGAGCTTTTTATTTTTGTCAAACGTTAATTCGCTTTACATTTCTCACACATTATGTATGAAAAACTTTTACATTAGGTATTTCACTCCTTTTCCATTTATCGGGAAATATAGGCCAATCATATTTTTCTCGCTAGTTCTGTAGGAAGTGCTATAATGCTGTTTTCCCTCGTTTTATCGGTAATTTCTCCATCCAAGGTACACATAGGTCTTCTTAGTTCTTTACTTAGGAGGTATTTTTTAGTCTGTTTTTCATGCACTTTGTGCTACTTCTACTCAAAAATTTCCTTTGTTTGTTTTTGGATTGAATTCGTCTTTTGTACTTCCCGATTAGATTACGCGTGAGCTCTTCTCAATTCTGGCACTTTCCGAGATATTTAATAAATTATTCTTTTTATCATATTTGTGAATTAAAAAAGAATTCATTTTTATAAAATTGAAATGGGAATGTAGGAAATATATTTTAACAGTTCCAAGCTGGCAATAATTTTACGATTTTAAATCCGAAAAACAAGACTGATATGTTATCTACGCTGCGCTATGTATATTCTTTCTTTGACAATTTGTGTTATGGTTGAGCGCTTTGAAGTTGGTGATATGAGTTAGTTTGATGTGAATAAGTGGCAGGAAATGCCAAGTGAATAAGGAGTACAGAAGAAACGTTTTGTTTTTCCTTGGAGGAAGGAGTTTTTACGTAGGAAATATATTTTGAGAGTTCCAAGCTGGCGATAATTTTACAATAAATGATTATTCCCTTGAAATCCGAAAACAAGACTTTATTGAGCGTTAAACAGCTTGTACAGTTTTTGTAATGGTTGAGCGCTTGGACGAAGTTCTTGATACGATTAAGTTTAACGTGAATAAGTGGCAGGAAATGCCAAATGAATAAGGAATACAGAAGAAATGCTTTGGTTTTTCTTGCTCATAATAAGCATAGCTCGGCTCTTTTCTTATATAATGATGATCAGTTGCAGTGTTATCCTACAGTCACAAAGTGCAGGAAAATCCGTCATGATGATATGATATGTGATGAATAAACACCATTCAGTTGAAATAAATCGTTGATGTTATCACGGAAATTCATGTTTCCTGCTTTTTTGAAAAGCATTAGAACCGGCGAAATACAAATTCTTTATTGAACTTACGCTCATGAATTATTTTCAGTTAAATTTGCGAAATTCAGTTCACTAGTACATGAAATTGGGTTGGATACTGATGATGCTTATTCAGTGCTAGTTTTCTTGCATTTAAACCATCGATATAATTTTCAACCTTCCCAATAGTTTTAACAATGAAAATTAAAACGTATTATCACTCAGTCATCACTTGTACCACTTCTACAATTTGTTTGATTATTTACTGAACAAAAGCCAATACAATATCTTCATTAATAGACCACATTTACAGTTATAATCCCATATTTACCGAGCTATGTAACGTTATAAGCACGCTACGTTTCGAATACAATTGAAGTGATACGATACGATAGCTACCAATATACGAGAACTCTCAAATTAAGTTAAAATCGTTTTACTATGCTCGGGTTCAAAAGATTGATCGGTTGATCGAGATTAGCAAAGAGAGATGTCATTAAACAGTATTGATGAAATTTGACATTAGAATATCTTAAAATAAGTTTGACGTACCTTTTTCCATTCTCTAGGGATGTGGTATAGTTGCTTGAATTCGAAGAATGACACTGAATGTATCAAAAATGCTACTTAATTTCTTGTGTGGTTACAATACATTTTAAAAAAAGCAAAATTATTTTATAATAATGATTGTCAGATTTTAGATAAGCACTTAGTGCATAGCAATTGATGTCTTTTCGTAGAAAAACATTTAATAATTAACCGACAATTACTGTTGCGCGTGTTGTAGGTATACTAAGCGGTGGCATAACATTGTATTGTCCAGGTAAAAGTGAATCTTATTGCAATAAAGAACAAAGATTATATATAATACATGTAAAACAGCAGAAATGAAATACAAATGACAATATCAACAAGTTGTATATCGTAAATATAGAAAATGTTGTAATCCTACGAGACTGTGCAATAAAGGATTAATAATGCGTGTTCTCTAACTTTATATAATAAATACTTCAATTGACGTGTGAAATTGTGTATAGTTCACCGAATAATCTATCTAAGAAGCTATAGTTAATTTTAAGTTTGTAATAAAGCGTTCCCATCATGATCTTCTTTCTTTTCTAGATGAAGTCTAGTCTTATAAGTAGTTTTTTTTTATCTCGACGACGAACGCTCTGATGTTTTGACACGATGTTAATCAATTTTATGGCAAAAATTGTTTAAGCTAATCTTCTATCACAATAATATCATAATTTTGAAAAGCCCCTTGATACTATTGTTATTAATTATAGCTGCGATGTTAATTCCATCGTCATAGAAAGTTTATACGCCAAAGTTTCAAAGCTAACATGTTTCGTGTTGTGGCTTTTATAAGTGTAAATTCTACCCATATACAATTGCAAATCGCTTTCATGGGATGGTAATTTCTGCGAATTGCCAATTTATAACACATACATAGTTCGTCGAAGAGCTCACATTTGAGTTTGTCTCTGTCGTCAAAATACTTCATTTCTTTTTTGTAATTACTACGACTGCATGGTTTACCATCTCCTCTTGTAGTTGTGTTCTGGTCCAATCGTGATGGTTTTGAACTGCGTGTTTGGTAACCTTGGTTCTAACAGCTCTCGTTACTGCAGCTTTGATTTTCACAACACCATTGTGCATTTTTTGATATATTGGTTTTGGCATGCATATCACTCCACAAAATGCAGCCTTTTTTAAAATTCTATTGCAATAAACTTACGTCAACTTTATCGTCATTATTACTAGCTGTTTTCATATTTTAGGAAACCGATTGAGACCGAATTACGATACTCATATACCTTACTTTTTACCTTTATATAGTTTAAACACTTTTTATATCAAAAATTAATTTCGTTCATATACTCACCAAGTTTGTTAACTGACGTACTTGTATGACTTGCAATTATGGAACCTATTCCAATTGTTTAGCTATTGTATGTTAATATGGTCTAGAATTGATTGTGCATCATAATCAATCATTAAAATGAAATGACTCACTATGGCCACATCTAACCATTTTTTCCGATAAATATTTCGAGTAGATAAAAAGTACCTTTTAAATACTGTAACATCTTGTTGTTGAATCAAAATTTCCTTCTAGGGTTGTGTTTACTAGATGTTGCAACTTGAAATCGTCTGATTATCCCTTTTTCACCTTTTTTTATGATTGTTGGGATTTATACATTTTTATACAACATTTATTCCTACTTTTACCATTCTCCTGATAAACCATCTAGGGGATAGTTGTCATGGTTACAGCGGTTTTATGCGCTCTCATTGGCTAAGAGCTGGATTTATCTATCAGGTAAATTTATCAAGAGGTGGTAAAAGTGGGCCTTAAATCAATAAAAAAAAGGATTTTTTGTTGCAATATGTTAGCTGTTAGTTTTGTGTAATCTGTTTACCTCTATGAAAATTATATTAATGATTTTCTGATTTTATTATTTAGATGGAAGCAAACAGCGACGGATGCAGTCTCACAACAGTAGTAACTTGTGAGGGAGACCTATCGGATCCGTGCTTCCAGGGACGGTTCGAGAGCGTACTGGGCACGCTGCAGTGTTTAATCGGGGATCAGTTAAAAGTGCGCAAACTGGAACCGTGGAACTCCGTGCGTGTAACGCTGTCCATCCCTCGAGAGGCAGCGTTGCGCCTGAGGCAACTCGCCAGCGATGGCTCGCAGCAGCTTCGCGCGCTGGGCATCCTCAGCGTCCAGGTGGAAGGTGATCAGGTCATCTCGCTACGGATAGCCGGCCCGTCGGAAACGCAGGAGATCATCTTGCAAACCGTGCAAGGTAAATTTTAGTTTATTTGGTTTTATTTCACAAATAATTTGGTAATTTTATATCGTTTTAATTTTTAGATGCGACTCCTGGACCCAGTTCAGTGCCTACGGAAACGGCAAATCTGTCGCAACTCCTGCAGGGAAGTAGCCAGCATCCACCGGAGCCGGCTCCAGCCCCTAGTGAAAAAGTGCAATTCCCTTCGCCAAACGTGGTGTGTCCGGCGGATTCGATCGTACCAAAAGTTCCACAAACGTCGGTCGCGCCCAGTTTGGCGCCATCGACCAACAAGCCCTATGCGGCCCCTTTCCCTTTCACCACGATGAACCAGGCTATAGGCACAAGTACAAATCAATATCCGCAAAATCCACCGCCTCCTTATCCTGGTAGTAAACATCAATCGGTGAATATGACGAGTCCGTTACTCGTAAATCTTCTTCAAAACGAAGGAGTACAATCGCCCAAACAACCGCCTGCTCCCCCTGATTTGGACGTGAATATGGTTAACGGGTTGGGGGCTGGACCACCTCCTTACGTTCAAAACAAACCGCCTCCACCATTTGTACAGAAGACGATACAACCGCAGCAAAGGATAGTCAAACAACCTCAACTCCAAAAACCCGTGAATACAATTTTTCGGCAAAACTCCACCATGAAACCAATTCTACCATTAGCGTCACCTACCAACACCGCCCTCACCACTCCTAACATTCATCCTTCGACCTTACCCATAACATTAGGTAACAGTAACATACCTAATTCACCATCAACGCCCAAAACGACGGACACCATTGTTAATTTACAACAACCACAGCAATCAATTGCTGTACCAAAACCCACCGTAACGAATAATAATGCTAATAGAGCCGTGCCTTACCGTTCATATCCACCTTATAACAACTCTTGGGAACAACCAGCGTCGATGCCTCAGGTCCAAGAGCTAACGCCCACCTTGCCTGATCTGAAAACCGAGTTGGATTTAGACAATCTTCTTCCAACGTTGGTGGGGAGCCCGCCAGACATTCCTGAGGAAGTTACCGACGCGCCCTCGAGACCCAAGTACCTTATTAACCCTTTAACGGGGGAATTAGAACCGCAATCGAGTAGCGATAGTGAAGACGATGTCCCGAGCGACGTTTTCACCGATTTACCATCGCCAACGATCATGTCCGATGAAGATACCAATTCAACTCACCGGCCGGACACGACGGATCAGAGCGATAGTGAATCGAGGTCGTGTCACAGCGACGGCGGAAAGTACAAACAGCACAAGAAGGTTCGCGAAAAGGGAAGAGATTCTCCGAGCATCAAACAGGAGAAAATTAAGCTGAGATTGAAACTGGGAAAGTCAGAACCCGTGAGTCCCGCTTATAAGGTAGATGTGAGCTTTATTAACACTCAACAGCCGAAAAAGGCGGTACCGGAGGAACCCAGGGTTCCGCCGTTACATATATCGTTAAGGGGAAGAAACCACGCCGTGATTAACAATCGGAAGCGGGTGAAATTGAATCCCGATGGGACGCCAATGAAACCAAAGGTGAAAAAGGTGCAAAAGGACGAATTGTTGGTGACGGGCGGTAGTGCGGGTGACGTTGACGTGACCACAATAAACAATGCCGTTGAACAATTGAAAAGTGACATCGGTGAAGTGAAAAAGGCGAAAAAGCCGCGCGACCTCAGTGTGTTCAATTTCAAGGAGAAACTAAAGGAACGAAGAGGCAGTGATTCGGAACTCGCACGAACCGCGAAGAAACATGGCGAAAGTAATGGTGTCTTGATTGACAAGAAACGGAGGCTAAGTCAAACTGAAGAATCTCAAACGTTAGTGCTGGGATCGACCAATACGGGCACAGTGTCCTCTCTTTCCTCTAGCCATAAACCAAGGAAAGATAAAGTGAAGGTTAAAGATGCCTTAAAATTGAAAGATTTGAATAGGTGTAAGATTTACAATAAGAATACAATGGAAAAATTGACAAACCAAGTGCCGTTGCCTACAACTGGCGACATAGACATGGAGGCTAAATTTAAGCAGCGCCTTTTAGAAGAACCGACACGATTGCCCTCTAAACCTGTAACACCCAACAATAATCTGGGAACAAGTGAAAATAACGGTACGATAGAAAGTTTAAATGTGGAAGATCTCATTCACACGTTAACAGATCCTGTTCAAGTTAAAGATAAGCCACCCGAACCCGATAAGTGTAATACGCCAGATAGAAAAGCGGATATTACTGAAAAGCAACCAAGTCGATCGCCGAATTCAGGAGGGCAAGGGGAGGATAGCGGAATAGAAAGTATGGATGCTCTTAGTGAAAAATCACCGAATCAGGCGAGTCAAAGTCCTCACGCCGATATCCAAGATAACCTAAAGCCGAAAACTCAAGTGCCTCACATATTGGATATCGAGGCACAACTTGCAAAAATGGAAGGCTTCACTGGTGACGAACTTCCCGAGACAAATCACAATAATGAAATGAAAGAGCAATGCTGCGGTTTAAACAAGGAACCGGAGGAACCACCTTTGAAGAAGGAACAAAAAAAGGAAGAAGATTTAGACCCTTTACCGGTCAGAGTAACACCTCCGCTTTATACATATTCCAATCCTGACAAAAGTCGGGCAGATAGTCCCACTTCGGACGTAGAAACAAACCATTGTGGAACCGTTAAAAACAAAAGCCTCCTGGAACAGTTACTAATAGATATTCCAGAAAATATTCAACCTAGTTCAACAAGTCCTGCGGCTAGATCCGTACGGACACGAGCATCCTCTAAAATGAACAGTCCCGAACTCAGCTCCCCGGTCCTAACAAACAAGCAAAACACCAGAGCGCCTCCGACAACCAAACGGAAACGACAAGAATCCGACAGTTCTAATAACAGCATCGAGGAATCGCGGACCAAAAAACAACGGAAATGTTCTGAAAACACCAATGAACTTATCAAAGCTTGTATCGGCATCGATCCGCCCACAAAAACCACTGTCAACAACAGTATCTCCAAGAAGAAATCGGAAGAAAGTTCGGACAGCGACGAACCGCTCATAGAATACGCGGGGAAAATGCGGAAAAACCAAGCGAACGTTAGTTCGACTAACACGGCGGGAGGCAATACCGGAAGTGGCGTGCAGAGGAAGATGAAACCGCTAGCAAATAGTGTGGGCGGGGCGGTTGTGGGTAACGCGATACAGAACAATAAAACGGTGCCAGTAAATACTAGACGGTCCATTCGTGCTCAACCGGCGCTTAACACACGCAGCAAAGGTGATAAAAGCCAACCAGACGCGGAGATGTTAAGAAGGAAAACAAGAAGTGCTGGTGAGTAATCAATATTTAATATGGTATACTCTATTTTTTAATTCGGAGAAGTAAAATGAAAACGCTCGATCACGTTTACGCAGTGTAATTTTTCTCTTTTGCGTCTGAAGACGCATTGCTAAACCCGAAACTTTCTGCTTCTAGGTCTAGTGTTAGTTTTACACTATCACTAGAACTAACACAAGACCTAGAACTAGAATCATTCGGGTTTAGCCCTCTTGAGAGACATGCGGATAAATCCGAATGTTTCTAGTTCTCGATTTAGCGTCAGTTCTAGCGGCAGGTAGCGCTAGTTAGCATAAGATATTACTATGTAGTATATTTTTATTGAACTAAAACTAGAATTAACACAAGACCTAGAACTAGAATCATTCGGGTTTAGCCCTCTTGAGAGACATGCGGATAAATCCGAATGTTTCTAGTTCTCGATTTAGCGTCAGTTCTAGCGGCAGGTAGCGCTAGTTAGCATAAGATATTACTATGTTGTATATTTTTATTGAACTAAAACTAGAACTAACACAAGACCTAGAACTAGAATCATTCGGGTTTAGCCGTCTTGAGAGACGTGCGGCTAAATCCGAATGTTTCTAGTTCTAGGTCTAGTGTTAGTTCTAGTTTTACACTAGCCCTATCACTAGAACTAACACAAGACCTAGAACTAGAATCATTTGGGTTTAGCCGTCTTGAGAGTCGTGCGGCTAAATCCGAATGTTTCTAGTTTTCGGTCTAGTGTTAGTTCTAGTTTTACACTAAAACTAACACAAGACCTAGAACCATTCTGGTTTAGCCATACTGAAAGACGGTCGGCTAAACCCGAATGTTTCTAGGCGGCCGACAACATCTCAAATTTTCCTAGTGTAATTTTGGTTTAAAACTGACCAATAGCAACCCTTCTTTTTGGCGCTTCAATTTGAAAAGACTCCTCCGATTTAAAAAATAGAGTATAAAATGATATATAATTTTTATTTAGTTAGTGATGTGTATAAATGATGTGTAATATATTAATTTCAGTATCAGAAGGTGAAGGTAAACGAAGAAAAGACGTTAAGTGACAGTGCCCAGAGGGCTGCAGCAGTTGTAGTCTATGTCCCGGGGCGGAAGAGACGTCGCCAACGGTGTCAGGGGGCACGACTGATCTGCTGCAGTCCCTATACGTAACGAGTACCGAAGTGCAGCCTTGAATACTCCGGCGGAAAAAACAGTATACAGTAGTACAAAACCTTCCGCTGACATTGTATAGAATGTGATATACCCTGTACATAGTTAGGTAATTGTACATAGTTGTGTTGCGTCCCCAGACGCCGAATGTGAGCGAGAGAAAACGAGAGAAATAAATAAACACAGAAAAAAATAATCTAATAATTAACAAAAAAAATTATGATTACGAATCATATACATACGAGCAGAAAAATTTAAATAAGGAAGACGATTTTTTGTATACAGACGAAGAGGGTATGTGTATGTGTATATATAAATTTAGTGAGCGCGCGCCAACACCGCCCTATACAAAATAAAAAATAAATAAAATGCAAAAATTCTTATACGAAATATGGATCCTTATGTATACACATTGACATAAACATTAAAGAGAAAAAAAAACGAGGAAAACAAAAATAAAATATACTTTTACTATTTGCATTTTCCGTGGATGAACATTTAATAATTATTTTATTTCTATGTATATTTTTTATAATTATCGTGAAGTTGTTGACATATTGTTTATGTTGTAGCTTAGTTTTCTTTTTTTGTTTTATTTAAAAAAAATGATAAAGCCTTATAGGAATCTTTCTTGTTTCTTTGCGTAAAATGACTTGTAATGTTCTTAATTGTAGAATTGTGGAAAGGTTGATGAAATATAAACTATATATTGTTAAATAGAAATATCTTAATATATTATGGTTTTCTTCTATTACCACGTATTTGATCTTAGTAAATCCTTTATATTTCCTCTTTCTTACCATTATCATTTATCAACCCGCCTTTGAGAAGTGCTAGAAATTTTGAAAAATAGCTCAAATTTTAAGACTTATTATGATAGAATCGTCTTCATTTATTATAATAAACAAATAATTATTAAAAGAGTGTTGGTATCATATAGATTTCTGATTGTTAGGAAGAGATCACAAAGAATTGATGCAGTATCAAACTACTGTAGCCAAAAATAAGTTGAATGAAATAATTTCGATGCCTTTATAGGAAAAAAATATTAAATACTTTATCATTAATTAAATGCCCAATTAATCATTCCATTATTCATATTTTTAATGCATAATTGATGATTATGAAAATATGTTCACATCAATATTTCGTACGATCAGCAACTATTTCATATCATAATCTAGAACAGCAAATAATCTTGCATTATCAATTCGTTAATGAGGATTTTAATTTTATTCTGATACAAATAAAAAGAGACAAATACATCACCCTTTTATTCCATTTATATATCATAGTTTAGCCTGTTGGTCAATTACAAGTATTAATCACACGCGATATTTACTCCTAACATTTTTAGTTTCCCAGTTATAATAATCATTTTTATCTGAAAACATCAATTTTGGGATTTGGATGTTTTTTCGTCACGAGTCCAATTTTAGTTCATGACAATGCTCGGCCTCATGTTGCGCGACCTGTTAAAAACTATTTGAAAAATAGTGGATGGGAAGGTACCCCTTCTGACTATTATTTGTTTCAAAATTGGCTTGATTCATTTCTGGCCTCAAAGTGGTTTTGGGATAGAATCCATAAATTGCCTGAAAGATAGGGAAAAATCGTAGCTTCCAATGGACAATACTTTGAGTAAAATTCTTTGTACCTTTGTCTTGAAATAAACATTAATTTTTCTATAATAATAATAATAATGAATTATTAACGATTTTACCTCATCTCTATCAAAAGACAGTGCAACTAAAGATATGAAGAAAAGTTTTGATTGTAATTGTCATTTTGTGTTTAAAGTTTGCATTAAGATGGATTAGCAATTCAATGAGAAAGGTATTTTACACAATGACTACGAATTAATTGAATGCGAATTTGTGATTATGATCTGAACGAATCGATTGTATTTCTTGGGTTAGCTGATCAGGAGATATTAAGGATGGAATCACGAAGGTAAAATAAAATTTGTAGTTTTTAATACCTTAGATTCCAGATCTGTTGCATATTATTTTTCAGGGTTCACTTGAAGAAAATAAGCAAGTATCTTGCGAAATAGAACTATAACAGAATAATGTGGCTTACTTTTATTGACAATATGACATAAATATTATAAACGGTATGTTACTATATAAATTCCGGTTGTTATTTAGCATTTTTAGGTTTACACAAATCTGGGAAGATTATGTTTGTGAATTGACCACCAATCAAAAGTTTTTGCGACCAACATTAAAGAACAAAGATAAGATTCGAAGGTTTAAGAAGAATTTTAGAAATAATAATTTAAGTAACATCTTTAATTAATTAGAAGGTTTTACCCAGATTTTTAAAGGTAATTGAATTTAATACTATAATAAAAGAATAGTAGTAATAAGAAGAACCCAAACGGTTTTATGTTGTTGAATAAAATTCATCGCTGAAATAAATAATTTTTAAATTTCAAATAGGATTTTACCCATCCGGATGGTTGTTTAATTAAATTGACAAAAAATGAAAGCTTTGAGAAGTTTCTTAGTATTTGACGAAATGGTGCTTAAACAATATTTACAATAATATATCAAAACGCATAATCTGTAAGGAGTTGAGAACATGTGAACCACAAAGGCACATTAGGTGACAATTGTAAGTTTTTGGACTGGTCTCAAACTATCAGAAAATCACAGACAAGTCTCCCGAAAATGTTCTACTTGTCTTTTTTTGGAAAAATCAGAAAAATATTCAGCAGCTTCTCTGTGGACATTTTACCCAATGTTGAAAATTATCTTTGTAATTAAAAACGACATTTATATAGGAGCATATAAAAAAACTGCAACTTTTTTAAAACAAAACTATAAAAACCAACAAATTGAAGAATTCATTCAGAACGCACTAGATGAAATGTATTTAATGATTAAGGTAAAGTGTTAAATTTTCGTTCTAATTTTTTTTTTAAATATTCAGGTTGCTCTCATCGTATGAATTGCTGCAACGTGTCGACGTCAAGAACTTACAGTTTTAAAACTTAACGATGTTGAAGATTTCAATTCGGCAACTTATTAAATTGAACGAGACTAAACAGTATCATCAAGAACATTTACAATTATAAACAACGAACTATATTTTCTTGGTTTAATTCAAAAATACGCAGCTTTACGGCCTGCTTGTTTCCGAGAAACAACCACTTTTATAAGGCGGGGTCTGGCTGAAAGTCACATTCTAGGGATCTAGCATATGAACTTACCATTTTCTGTGTGTTATAGTATTGTACTACTTTTGTACCTTAATGTACCGGTGAAAAATAGTTTTGTACCCCACCGGTTTCCGAGAAACAACCCCTTTTATAAGGCGGGGGCTGGCTGAAAGTTACATTCTAGCGATTTAGCATACAAATTTGCCGTTTTCTGTGCATTATAGTATTGTACTAGTTTTATATTTTAACGTACCGGTGAAAAAATGTTTTATATCACCGTGATTTTTTTATAATAAAGAAAGTATACTATACTTTCTTAGTATAATAAGAAAGTTATACATAAGTAATAAAGAAAGACTATTTTGTGAAATACGAATAATCATTTGCAGCTTTCTTGAAGTGTACTTACTATTAGGTATAGGTATATTTTAATAATTTATACGGCATAAAATAACCATTGGCAATTTATAGCTTACATATCCCTGCACTGGGTGACTTTTGTAGAAAGTCGTCGTACTTTTGCGAGCCTGTCGGGCGTTTCGAAAAACGAACAAAATGGCCTATGCTTTCAGGAGTTTTGCCGCCATAATACCCAATAGCACCCCGTAATATGTAAGTCTTCTCGTTGCAAGTAACACTTTGTGGCAGGATGGATAAACTTAATTGTATCCCAGTGAATACCTCAAAGAGAATATATTCTTTGTCAATATTATAACTATTGTTATTCCTCATTCCACATGTACAGGATGTCCCAATTTCGTTATCCGCATAGGCTATCTCCGAAACTAAAAGAGATAGAAAAAAAGTAGCTTACATGTCATGATCTCGTTTATCGAGAAAACGCTAATGCCGAAAACTGCGAACAGCTATCGTCTTTTGTTTTCGCCCTATCGGCAAAAATTTGCGAAAACGGCAATCGCAAATATCTCACTTATTATCAAAGATGGGGTATTATAAATAAAACATTATATGGGCAACTTTTTACAAAGAATTCAGTGGCGTAGGTAGAATTTTTTTCCCATCTTTTATTTTCGAGATTTTAGAAGTAACTTTATTTTTTTAAATGGAAACCATAGTTGGCTATGACTTAAAATAGTTTGTTATTTTCTTCTGATAACAAATATATATAATTTGTTCTATATTTTTGTAATCAGAAAAAAATAACGAATTTAATAAGCGAATAATCAGTGGTTGTTTCTATTTAAAAAAACAAAAATTGTCATAATATCTCAAAATCTAAAACCGAAAATTTTGTTTTGACTATTTCATCAAATTCTCTGTAAAAAAAATGTCTTAGTTATAATATTCCACCTATAATAATAATTAAGATAATTGCACTTGTTGGTTTTACGATATTTTATAGCTAGATGGATAGCTAGGAGGATATTTATAGTTAGCCTATTCGGACATCGAATTTGAACCACAATGTACATGTATTACAATCTGAATTATTTAAGGCCTTATCTATATTATTTAAAATACTTTGTGTTGTAATGTTATCAGTAGCGGACAGAAATAATATAGGATTTTGATACTTTATTAAGGTTTTCAAACATGTACAACTGTAATAAAAGTAACCGCATTTTGGGAAAAATGGCGCAATTTTTATTAATTACGTTATATACCATAATGCCGTTGCGATATACCGATTTAACACTAAAGAGAATACGTGATTAAAATGTTACAGCAGCAACGTATTCACTGTAAAGTCTTTGTTCTAAGATTATATGTATTTCTCGTAACGCCATTTTTAACAATACCTATAATCAATGAACTAAGTGAAGTATCCGACATGTTTATAATATTTTTAAATGTATCGCTATCAACATAGGAGGTATCAGTTGGGTCAAGCTGCCAAACCTGCAAGTGTTTTCAAATATGGCTTGGTGATTGTTGTGGCAAAGGTACACTTCCGGTTGGCGAATTTCGCTCAAAAGTTGATACAGATCTACTTTTTTGCTCTAATTGGCGTATATAAAATTTGTACAACGTAGTTTGTCGTGTTTTCGAGTTATCTTGCTTACAAACTAGGGATGTTACGGAGGTGAGTTTACCGGAACCGGAGTCGGAATCGGAGTTTTTAGATTTGATTTATCGGAGTCGGAATCGGAGCAGGAGTCGGAAGCGGAGTACAAGAGAGTTGTGATAGTTAACTGTTAAGAGTAACCCTAATAAAATGATAGAAACATAATACAGCAGTCAGTCTCTTTAATCAATACGTAAAATATTAATTAGATATTAGACACACACTCGTACGTAGGTACGCAACAATAGGAAAATATCTTAATAGTGTTAGATTTAATTTAAATCAAATGAAGTGACTCTAAAAGTAGCAAATTGTATTTAATAAACAAAAGCTTGGCAGCATAAATGAGACCGGCGCCACTAAAAAGTTGCTCACTTGCCACTGACCCTGAAGGACACGATAAATATTGACGAGCAATTGAGTGCAATGTTTGAAATTTTGTATTTACTCTCCACCATAACAAGGGATCGTCACTGACAGCAATACGTTTTTCTTTGTTGTACTCATTAAGTAAGGTCTTCCATATGATGAATTTGTCAACCGATTGGCTATCCTTTGC